TGTGTAATTCATTGCATTCAGTAAACATTTCTAGGTAAGATTATGTTTTCCGCTTTCTTAATTTTCTATAAATTCTCAAATTATAAAAATAATTTCTTGTAGAGTACCTTTTGAGTTCATTTTCCAATCTATGTAATAATATAATCTCGTGTTGCTACTCTAAGTATTGTTATATTTTACAAAACAATTCACTAACTGCCCAAACATTTTTCTTTTGAAAAAACAAAGAAAACATAATCATTATTTATTTTAGATCACATAATTTATTAAATTTATCTATTGCTGACTGCTGTAGCTATACCGTAGTACAGAAGAATAAAACATGACAACATTTACTTCAGATTTTCTCTGTTTCAACGGTAACCAAATCTAATTTGTTTTACAATATTTATAAGTTACATATTATGTACATTTATAACATTTGCATGAACAATTTATTTTAAGATATCGATGAATAATTTAATTATGTTTCAAACTGTTACTATAAACCACACGATAACTAATATAATATAGATTAATATAGTTTTAAATCTGCACACATTGTACACATGTATGTAACATTTCGCCGTATACAATATATTTTGTATGCTCTATACGTACTTACATATTGTTCGTGCTCGGTTCACCACTTTTGAGTAATATAAAATGATAATTTTATATACCTAGCCACAGGAGCGTATAATTTTTAAACTAAAAACAAAAACTTAAAAATTATATATTTGTTTTTTGTTTTTTTGTTCTACCGTCCGGAAAAACAAAATCGAATGATTCACCAAGAATAGATATGTTCTATAACTTTTGGCATGGCAGTGGAAAAAAAAACTTTAAGGTTCACAGAGAAAGAAGCCGCCTTGCCTTAGTATCTACCCCCAGTCCATCACCGCTACACCTACTTACAACCTCCTTATCACCTATATCCATATACATTATACTATATATATAAATATATATTTATATATGTATACTCACGTAGTAGACGAGTTTAAGGTTTGCTTATGGTGTAAAACTTTTCGTAGAAATTGTTTTCGAGAAACCCCGCCTCTTCCGCCACCGCCACCGTGTTCATTTCGAGTAATTCTTCAGGTGTCAGACGCGAACTGGGGCGGCTGGTCTGTGGTAATTCAATTTATCCACTCGCTGAAAAATTTATAGAATCCGTAACTCTTACCCAGGAACAAAGGGCTCGCGATGGCCGATGGTCTAAGGTGAAAAAACTGCAGCCAGAAGACGTGAGAACGTACGTTTAGTATATAATATAATGTACTGTTGGTACGAGTTTGGTGAGAAATGATCCTTAGTCATGATTCTGCGACCTGTGGCTTTTTATATAATATTATCTCTTCTTCCCGCCGTTATTCACAGAGTAAATTTAAGTGTAAAATATGGTTGATATTATACACAATTAGTTATGGATCAAGAATCCGTTGCTATTGCTCATCTAAAATCCAAATGTAGGTATAAATAATTTTCTATTGAATGAAAAACTTTGTTTAAAATGCACAGAATAAATTATAATTTTGGACATGTAAAGATAATATTGATGTGATGATTTTAATTATGATCGCATTAATTGTAAGGCGATAATGAGATCATCAGCCAATGAACCCATTATACACAATATTATAATATACCCGTCATTGTACAGTATAATATAGAAGTAATACGGCATCACGGCATACATGATCACCTAAAGTTGCAGCGTTTGTATAACATACAATTATTAATTACATTATTATTATTATATTATAATTTATATACCATTTTAGTTATTTCCAATGGGCGGCGCGTTGTGTATGCAATTTCGGTACATCTCCGTATAGGTGGCATTCGAGCGTTAAACCGCACTATGTTGACGGTTGAATTAATATAATAATATTATGTTTATTGCGATGACATGACGTGCATATTGTGAATGATTACTCGTGTGGACAAGCGTGACTACTTTCTTTTTATTTTGTTTCAACCACCTCGGTTAGCAGCAAACAGCGACAAATTTGCGTATTTCAAATATTCCGCGAGAACGGATGTGAATGTATTTGTCACACCGTATAGTAATTAAGTATTGAAATGAATTCATTTCCACTTATAGGTTTGGTTGTAATAGGATTAGAAACGCATGTTTGACGTTGAATGAATGTAATAATAATAATCATAATAATAATAATAATAATGATGGAAATAAATTACTTTCTACAAAGATTAATATCCAATTCCTATCGTATTAGTTTTACCTGCTGATAAAGAAAAATTAAAGTATTATTTTTTTCATCATCTTGGACGATTGTTAATTTGTTTTTATACAGTCCATGTTTTTGGGGGTGTGGTAGACATGTTATATGTCACCTTCGCAATAAAATATACTACCTGCAGCAGTACCACAGTCTCAAGGATTACAATAATATTGTACACTAGTATTGTACGAACTCCATACACGGGCACAGGTCATGCTGCTAGTATTACTTTTGTTAATTGTTGCACCCACGAGGTTATCACTCGGAACCTAGTAACACTATAGTTGAACTCGATACCGAGTCGTTTAAATATCAATTACTAAAACAAATAAACAAAGCATGTCTTCATTTTCTGTCATCGTTTGCATGGATAGTCTAATGCAATAATATATATTATCACGATGGTAAGCGCGTGTGCATAGGATTAATAAAAATTGTTACTTTAAACATTAAACCTGTTACTATAATATAATATACTGTTGTCTTCAACTATAAAAGGGAGGAAAAAATGATATAAAAAATAGGAAAAGTCTACTTGGAGAAATATTATATTTATTACGCTTACATAATAATAATAATACGCGATGGATGTATACGCTAAGCAACGGCGCCTTCTGCGAGCAGGGCAAAATGAGGGGGAAAAAATTACCTACGTTACACTCACTTACGTGCAACGCCGAGATTATAAATCGTTTTCGGCTTGCCAAAAGTTGTATAATAAACTTTCAATATGATCGCGGACGTAATAATATAAATAATACATAATAAATGTGAACGCGCCCGTTAATGACTTTCCGAGGACAGCTTTATATAGTGTATTATATAAATATATATACTCTGTGCTGCCTGGGTGGTGGTAGTCGCGGTATGGGTGGTGGTGGTGGTTGGGGTTGTTACCGGAGCGATATAAGGGTGGGAAGGCGAAAGGGTGGCGGTGAAGAAGGCCGAACGGAATTTATTAAGGCACAACTTCTTTGACACGGCAACGGCCGGCACGAGCGTCCTCCGCAGAGTCCTCTCGCCGCGGCCATACGCGCACGCCACCGTCATCTCCATCGTGCACTGCACCTTCGCGCACCGAAAAGCCGTTATCTCTCTATTAACGGTTATATTTTATAAGTTTGTATATATCGTCATATATATATATATACAGACGTATACTATAGGTATTATAAATAAATATATATATATTTATTAAACGGACGGACCGAACGCGTGTGTATACACACCGTATTAACGGAAAACGCGAGGATTAAAACCGCATTTTATATCGTGTCAACTGATTTATCTCTATCCTCGCGTGCATTCCGCACGACCGCAGCCATTATACGTGTCTCGACCGATCGCTATATACACACATAATATATATACATATATAAAATATTACGCGTATGTTGTACACCGCACCACCACCGCTGCCGTCGTATGTGTTATTGCACACCACACGAGCACTCTCGGGTGTTCTGATTTCCCTCTCGTCTGCCCCTTCCGCGGCCGTTACGACGTTTTTACCACACTGGATCCAGTTTTTTGTTTTATGCATATAATATTATAAAACGCGTAAGTTTCCGTATTCTTTTTTATTTTAAATAATTTTATAGAAATATTCAAGGATCAAAATGCCGGAAAATTTTCGGAAAAACTCGGGTATGTTTTCGAAAAAAACTGTTTTTTTTCCCAGAACCTCGGAAAACGTGGAATAATGGTAGAACAATTTCATGAAATTTTAATTTTTCAAAAAAAAAAACCAGTTTTTTCGTCAAAACCATTTTTTCCGGAAATTTTAAATGAACCCAAATTTCCCCAATTTTTCAGAAAAAAACGGGAAAAAACCCGGGTTTTTTTCAGAAATGTTTTAAAAAAAATACTCCTGTTTATATTACAGTTGTCTGTTCACACTAAGGTCGTCATATAGCGAGGAAACGATAACTTTGAAAAAATGTAGCACTCGATAGCGTTGGACGTCCCAGTCGGACCGACGTCGTTGTCGTGGTCGTCGACGTCGGGTATAATGCAGTGTTAAACAGTACGGTGACATTCGTTCACCAATATTATTAATGTATTATGAAGCTGTTGTTTTATGCTTATAATATTAAATATTATATATATTTAGTAAAATATAACCGTAAATAAAATTGTTGATCGCATTCACGGGACGACTTCTATGCCATAATATTATAATATACTGTTATTCCCTCGTTTCAAACAATAATATGTACGTACATATATTATAACTATATACAACGTGTAACAAGTATTATTGCGGCAATAAGTTATCATTTTAATTTCGTTATTGTGACTCCCGTTAAATTCGCTACCTATTGATTAACATTGTTTTGGAAATTATTCATGTGAACTACTCGTACTATATCTGAACGAAAATAATTATTATTGCAGCAGTCCTAAAAACTGTCTGCTTTATAGTTTCAAAATCTGGTATCGGGACACGCACACACACAATGCGCACATACCTACATTGTTGAAATCTCTCTTTACGGTTTTTTTTCATATATTTTATTATATTATGAATTACGATACATTAAAATATTTTATACCTACTGTAGTACTGTAATAATCTATTCAACAAAATGTACAGTTTTAAAAGGTTTCTACGTTTTGTAATTTTAATCTCGAACCATAGTATAGTCCAATATAATTACTGGATTAAAATATATTAAATATAATATGACGTCATATTATCCACAAGGGTGTCTAGAATTTATATATTCGACAATATTGGCCATTGTAAATAATTGTCAAGCAAAAAATATGTATTTATGCAATAAACTGCGAATGAGCAGACTGGGACTTGATGACATATTCCGTGAGATGCGTGATATGGTTTTGATCCGGCCGTATAATATTATAATCCAGTCACAAGTTGAAATATTACAATTGTTGTCAATTCGAAACGCTTCGATTATTCAAGAAATGTACTTGCTTGATATGGTACTTCGTTATGCAAAAATATTCTTAGACTAGCTTCTGTGAAAAACATGTCAGGTATATCCTATAGACTACGTGGAATAAAGTATAATATTTACGCATATTGAAGGCAGCTCCAAGCCAGGAAAAACTGAGATGAGAAATATTTTTTCTATAATATAATATAATATTTATATAGATACCTATAATAAAACACTACAAGCATGACTTTTATAATTATGTTTACAGAAAAAAAAAATGCGATTCACATTATGAATAGATTTGGATGCAACTAACTAGAAATTCTGAATTTATTTGTTTGCCAAGATTATCTCTGCTATGGTCTGAGAATAAATTTGTTAAAATTAAAACACAAATATGATGAGAAGAGTTATGAAATATTTAAATATATTACGCATAATGTATATATTATTATGATGGAGGTTGTATCGCATTTATTTGTATTTGTATTTGTATTCGAAATGATAGAAGACAATATTAAAAATTATAACAATCAATAATTTTACTTAATACATCTTTTTGAAGAATTCCGCCATAAGTAATTGAATCTTAAAACTTATTATTCAGAATAATAAATAATTTAAAGTATTTACCAAATTGATTACCTACTTTTATGTATGTCTTTTAAAATATTTATAATATAACTGCCACTGTCAATACAATAGAGTAATTTGAAAACTATTTAATACTTTATACGGTATAGTATAATATTGGGTATACAACAATAATAATTGTTTTATCATAATAAATTGATTTATCTCAAAACCGTACTGTTTTGAATTTTTAAATGAAATAGTTTACTTGTTAATAAAAAGTATAATCATATTGTACATTATTTTTAGATTTAAAATCTCAATTTGATTACAAAAATGAAATGTTTCATCATACGAAATGTTATTAAAAATGAATCTTGCAATGCATTTATTATGACGTAGTTACGAAGTAGCTATATATTCATAAGTTACATAACAATATATTACTATTATGTTTTGTTTGTCAAATATTATAGTTTTTGACATCTAATTATTAATATTAATGAAATTGTATATTATTTGCTTGTAGATCAATATTACTAAAAACATATGTTTTATTAATATAAACCGTGTGGTAAGCCAGTTTTATGAAAACTTACCCTATAAACGTAATATTGTGGCTTGACGCGTGGCATTGGCTAATACCAGTCAAGCAATGTGACTGAGAGTACGTAACGTCCACTGTTACTAGTTCCCGGATGGGTGACCACCCGGGTTCGTAATAGTAAAAACCTTGACACACATACACGTGTTGCTTATACCTACCGTAACAACAGTGAGAACCTTATCGTACTGATCCTACTAAACATAGTCCACAACCCAATAGCTAATGCCCATACTTGTGGGGCTCAAGTTAAAAAAATAAGTATTATATTGTCATATATTTATCATAACTTAATTGTTATGTACGATCGTAGTATTATATTTTATTTCACAATCAATAAAGATAAAATCTCAAGTGACACTTGATATGGTTTCGTTGATAAAACCTTAAGTAGGTAATTTTATAAATTGAATATCTTAAAATTCATACGAAATTGATTCTTGGAACAGTTTAATTTCTTATTATTTTTAATCCAATTCCATTACAATAATGTGTATATAGTTAAATGATTAAGTACAAAATTAATGAAATGAAATTATTTATATTATACTAAAATATGCCATTTTTTTTTGTTAGAACTTCACGAGACGAGCCCCGTTTGCTTCAAATACTCTTAATGTCTTTTTTTTACATATTTTTCATAAAATTTCCAAAGTTATACTGGCCATGCCTTTACGTACTTAGTATTTCAGTTCATCTATGTACTATGGTTTATGGACTTATAGTTTACTTTTTAAATGCCTACATGACAACATGATAAAAAAAATGTTATGCTTTTTAAATTAGTGCATTTTTATAACGTCAACTGATATCCAGAAAATGCATTTTTTTTTTTTAAATACAAATTAGTAATTACACTTCCCATCATAATATTTTATAATAATATAAGGGTGGTATGATATTATATACTATACAACAAGTACAATTTTGTTGTATAAAACGAATAGATATCCATAATCATGTAGCATTATTTTGTAATGATCGTTTTTGAAAAACTATTGGTGTTAATTTTGAAAATTCATTAACTATAATTCGTGATTCTATATAATTATTTTACTTTCTCTTGTAAGTTTAGTAATTTATCTAAGAACACCAATTAAACTAGTTCAGATTTCAAAGACCAAAGTTGATTCAAAGTAAACTCATTATATATAATATAAAATTAACATAGTTTAATGAAAGAAGCAGGTCATTTGTTTTTAACACAATTAATAAAACATCGCTTAATTCTGTAAAAAAGAACATTTTATTATATGCGGTTGAGGAGCAGCTATATGTATGTTATAATATATTATTATCATCTTCGTAAGAAAAAAAAAATGTATCCATACATAATGTGATCTGTAAATAATTATTATTTCAGTGTGTATTCTTACGAATTTCTACCGGCAACTACAATATAGCACATTATTACAATAATAGCATCAAACGATATCTGGAAATATATATTAATATATAACATAAGAAAAAAAATTTAAATAAAACCATATCCTCTATCCACCTCATATCAAGAGGGGTCGACCTGCGAGCAGTCCTCAATCGACTTACTAGATGCGATCCCCCTTCCATATACCTCCTCCTTGCCTAGCTGCCATAATATTACCCTTCACTTTTTACGATAGTTCCCACCCCTCAAGCACATTTCCATGCCATTTTAAATTACTCCTAGCCATTTCCTATTCCGAATCCTTCTACTCGTGCATTTCTTGAATTCTCTTTACCGCTCTGCATTCGCGTTCTCAGCCGTCCCGCAACACACACTCGAACCACTTTAACCTATTCACTCTAGCCAGGAGGTTAGGTAACTCTATAACCACCCTCCTAGTGTATGTTATTGTGTACAGGTACATATTCTTGCATACTTAACTCGGTTTATAATCTCATTTACACCATACATACACGTCTATAATCCTTCTAGGAAGTTTGCGTTCCCACGAGTATTTTTTTTTTAACAGTTCCGTGTACGTATTTAT